GTTTTTTGTTTTCCTGACATGTTGGTGTTATATCTTTCACTTGGATGTTATAAGTTGCACTGAGTAAATACAGCTGGATAAAACAAAAACTGTGCCTGTCTTCATTTCAGGCTGCAAAGCAAAGCAACAAAATGTGATTATTTTAAAGGGGGCTGATTCTTTTCTATACCCACTGTATGAATGTGTGTGTATATATATATATTTTTTACAACTGCAGTTCATGCTAAGTTTAAAAGAAGGAAGGTGCTATTTATGTTAAGTGTATATAAAGGTAGCTTGGCATCAAGTGCAAATAAATACAAATAACACCTTGTTTGCACTGAGTGGAAATAGGCAGATGAATTGCTCAGACAAAAGCATCAGCTAGACAAAACCAACACAAGCTAGATTATTCAGTCTCAGATGAAGAAATGCAATACACTATCAGAGTAGTTTTATTGAATAATGAAAAAGGATGATTGAAGTCACCCAAGAGTGAATAAATCTTTATAGAGAGAATAATTTTTAGATCATTTGACATATGGCAATTCTAATTGGCAGGCAAGAAGGCAGAAATGCTTTGGGCTTCATGTACTAATTCCCAGCACAGCCACCGGTAAAAGGAGAATCAAATCAGTCATATCGGTCAAAGCCTTTCCCCTCTGATCCTCCTAGAGCTTGGACTGCACTAACAGTAACACAGCACCAAAAGGCACAGCAATTATTTATTAACCTTTCCTTTCCTTTTGACAAAACAATCAGAGCCCACTAAAAATCAATATATATACTGTAGTATATTCTACATAATGTATTAGAAAATCTTGAAGTTGTGCTTCGCATAAATGGCCTATTTGTGTTGTTCTCTATCTAAACTAATCTCATCCACATAACATTAATGGTAGGGTAAGTGATTTGTGGTAGCCAAAATTGATATTTCAAATCACCAAAACAAACACGCCCCTACCCCAAAAAGGTCTCGCCCCTATTTTGATAACTCCGCCCCACACATACTGTATGTACGCAACCCAGACAACGATTATGACACACGAGCATATTAAAGCAAAACCAATGTTACTCACCTATCGAGGAGAAACAAAGCAACCTCGGCGTCTGATCGCAGGCCTTCCCGCTCCTTGAGTTCCCATTCAGTCAGTCACGTTCAACGTTACGTCAGTGACTGACGAATTGGGATCTCGCCCGAGAGCCCAATCACCTTCGAGTGTTAACTAAACAAGCCAATGACAGTTGGCGTGCGTGTTTCGCCACGCGCACCCCGCCCCGCAGCGCGGGTATAAAAGGAGAGCGCGTGCAAACGCACATCAGCTTTTCGCTTCGGAGCCGAGCCTTCTACAGGACGAATCTCCGCGAGTGTTCGAGAGGTGATTGGGCTCTCGGGCGAGATCCCAATTCGTCAGTCACTGACGTAACGTCTCCGTTCCCTCCTTCAGGGAACGAGGGTTACACAAGTAACCTAGACGTTCTCTCCAGCGCTGGAAAACTGATCCAATATTTACACGGGCCCTACTTCTTGCCTTATCATCCGCCTTCTCTATCATCGCTCGGCTCGGCTAATGTCCGTTCTGTGCACTGAGCGCTCTCTCCTCCACATCATGAGTAGACACGCCCCTTACTACTGATTGGCTACAAGTTTGTTTTAGTACTCGGCCCGACTCAAGTTTTCTAAAGCGTTTTTGAAAAAATACATATCCCACATTTAAGCAAAGCTTTTGAATGTTTTAGAAATCTGTTTTTTGGTGGAACATAAGGCATTTGCTTCTGACATACAGAGTTGAATTTCAAGTATTTTCATGAAAGCTTGTAAAGGCGTCAAGGTAATTTAATCAATATGATTGTGAAACAAATCACAACATTGCTTTGGGAATCACTTTATCTCGTCCGCTTTCAAAAAATTAAACATTCACAGACTCGCCCTGCAATTACAAAATATAAAACTTGACACTATCACCAAACATTCTTCCAGTGGTATGAATAATCAGTGAATGTATGACATTTTGAATTTGTATGTCAAACTGAATTTATTTTCCACATAGCTCTGGTCCAAGTGGCACCCAACATCCAGCAGGATCAAAAAATGTATGAGGAGTCTGCTTCAATTGCAGTACTTATGCTCTGACTGACAGTGAAGTTTCTCACACTTTATCTCCCTTGCACTCACTCCGAGATGAACAATGGTGTTAAATGGAGCTTCGGTGTGGGTGAAGAATTGTAAATTATTCCATTCATTTTTTACTCACAATTTGTACAGTGTCCCAACTTTTTTGGAATTGGGTTTGTAGATTCCTTGTTCATTTATTTTACAAGAATCTTTGAATGATTTGAATAGAAAGTCAATTTATACTCGTCAGTTCTGAACCAGCCCTCTGAAAGTAAATATTTTTTTTCCTTTTCAGTTTCAGTCAGCCTCAGATTCTCAGTCACACTTTAGAATGGAATTGAATTATGATCTCAGAACATAGTTATTATACTGAAAACGTAAACATAATATTTGAAATCTTTTGAACACATACATTGGGAGGAGGTACTTTATGGGGTTAGAAAGTAGTTGAGTATCAACAATTCAAAAGTGCACCCAATGCTACTAAAGTTATCTTCCCTAAGGGTTTACGTAACCTACTTTAAAACAATACTTACAAGCCAGACCCCTCTTTCTCTGAAAGTCAGCAGCTGTTCCTATTCTATTTTAATTTTACAAGCAGAATTGAATTTTACAATTTTACACTATGAACTGAAAACAGTAGCCCCATGCTTTAAAAAAGAAAGAAAGAATATATTTATGATGTATCCATTTGAAAACAAAAAGGATTGTTTTCTCTGATATATTAACTCTAAACCCATCTGTATACAACATCTAAAATGTTATTTTTCTCCATCATGGTTTCTGAATTAATCTATTGTAGACATGCAGTCTCATGGGGTAATTCAATATTTAGGACCACAGATTGTAAGTGGTTATAAACTCTTATGAATATTTAACTGGTTGGTCTAAAGACCTTTAACACTAACTGTTGCAAAGTCTTCAGTATTTTTGGAGTACCAGTGTTTTACTATGCACCATAATGCTTAACTAACAGTACTGTGCAGCACTGCATAGTCATCTGAGTCACGTTGAAGCATCAACATGCTGAATTGAGCATTGTATCTGCAAAATGACAAAACAATATTTAATCACAGTCATTTCTAGTTATGATAAGCCCAATTTAGAGACATGAAGAGTAAAAAATAAAGCCCAGACTCTGTTCACAGTAAAAAGCAAATCCAAGAGAAGCATAATACATTTATTTGTTCATTTTTGTTTGATCAGCTGTGCTTGTACCTGTCAGTCATTTTGGAGATATCACAAGTATATGGAATAGAAAAGGAGAGAAGCCCAACATCCATAAAGACAGATGTTTCGTAATATACAAAAACAACCAAAAAAAAGTTGTTTTGCTGTTAAAAATTTACAACAGCCTTTTATATCATACTTTGCATTATATCACTATGATATTTTGAACAAATGGGATACACTGTACAAGCATAGCCACAAAGCTTAAATAGTTTATAATCTGATAAATTAATCCTGTATATAAATAAATGTATCATTATTTATCATCATCACTGATAAACCACTTCTTAAAGGCACAATATGTAAGATATTTTTATTAAAATATCCAAAAACCACAAGAACAGTGTTATATATTTTGCTGACTTGTGTACTTACATTATCCCAAATGTTTCGAAGAATGTTTAAATCCAGAGAAATAAGCAATTTTAACTAGTGACACGGATCGTGTCCATAGTGTCATTATGTCGCCTGCCAATGACGCCATAACCCCTAGATTTTTTTTTTCACCAAAGATGCTTTAATATGCTATGCATTTTATTAGACAGGTGACGACCGCACAGAGTAGCATTATGACACAACGTTCAAATGTATCTAGTAGGATAAAACAGTGCTGCTTACTTCCGCTGCTTTCCGGAAGGAGTGGAATCAGTCGACTGTGGCATAATAAAAGCTCCGCTGCTTTCGAGCCGTGTGTCACGCTCGTTCAGTGGCCTCGTTACGCTTCGATGGCTTTCAGCCTCACCCTGCTTCATTGTACTACATTAATAAATCTTTAATACATTAGCTCATCCATGAACATGATTTCTGCCTGAGTCCCATCGGATTGCTTTGGCTGTGGGGATGTAGACAATAACTCCCATGATTCCACACCCAGTCATGGCGTCATCTAACTATGCCTTTGTTTCTTTGTTTGTTTTGAATACGCACAAAAAATTACATATTGTGCCTTTAAGTCTAGTTCAGCAAGTACCTCTTCTGTATACTTTTTTATGGCATGTTAGAGAGCAGCAGTACAGTAATTGATTTCACTGAAGGACAGTTAAGAACAGTTTGTAATAGAGCTCTGATCAGTCAGGACTTTGCACCCTTAGGACGAACCACGCAATACCCAAGCACATCAGGGCAACACTCTTCATCCATCTGTCATCTGGTGACAGCCTTCTCATGCTCCCTAACCAACAGTGTCCGTTTTGTATCTCTCAGCTGGAAAGAAACAGCACACTTTTTAGGTAATTATCTTCTCTAGTTTTTTCTTTTTTTTGTCACCATATAAAAGGATACAGCCTTTCATGTTACATAGCTCTCTAGTCACAATGACACAAGCCATATGTGCAAACTCATAATAAAAATATCTCTTGATAACTTCAGAGTGCCTGCAGCCATAATAAAGATAAGCCTGTTTCCTCTAATGCAATACAGAGCTTCCCAATTCAGATGTTTTTTGTTTGTTTGATTAAGCATTTTAGCTTTTGGTACCACCTATGTGACCAGCATCTGTTGTCCTCACAGACTCATGAACAGCATTACACAACGAAGTAAGAAAAAATATCAGTGTTGTTGCATACAGATTGTCAATGCAAAGAGAGAGAAAGGCAGTGGTGTTTTTGAAAATTTCTCTTCCTTGTCAATCACCTGTGAATGGCACTGGATGTTGCAAACTAGCTGCCAGTGTTCTCTAAAAAGATCTCTTCCAGGACTTGCACAGGATCTTCTGAAAAGCTCGCCGGAAGTCCTGGTTGAAGATTGTGTAGATGACAGGGTTGAGGGAGCTGTTGCAGTAACCAATCCAGAAGAAAAACTTGAAAAGGGTCTCGTGGATGGCGCAGGGCTCCCGGCAGATCCCATACAGGCTGTAGCTGAAGAAGAATGGAAACCAGCAGACCACGAACACCCCCATGACCACTGCCAGCACAAAGGTGAACCGCTTCTCTCGTGCCTGGGAAATTTTTTTTCTCGAAATGGTGTTCCTCCTTTTTCTGCGGGAGGAAAACAAGTCTAGGGACTTGTTGCTGGCTCGGGACTTTCGGCTGGAATGCTTGGAACTGGAGCTGTTCTTGCGGCTGGATCGGCGGTCTTTTCGTGAGGGCACCGTCTCGTTTTGTGTCCGTTTGGCCTTCTCATCAGACGAGCTACTGTCCTCCAGTTCGGCATCTGGGTCATCCTCGCCTGGTTTGCATTCCCCTGGTGGTGGCGAGGCACAGTGCCCATTTTCCCGCCTGGAATCCTCACGGCTCAAGCCATTCTCCAGGCGTGGTGTTCCTGATCCTCCATCTGGATTGTGGCGCTTTTCAGACATATTTCGGGTTCTTGTCTTAGCCACCTGGTAGATTCGGATGTAAACAAGGATCATAATGACACACGGGGCAAAGAATGAACCGATGCTGGAGTACAGGATGTACCACGTGTGGTCATTCAGCTGGCATTGTGGTTCGCTCCTGTCACCCTCGTTATTCCGGTCCATGGAGATGAGCGGTGGGAAGGAGATTACAGCCGCGATCAACCATACCACCACAATCATGCCCTTTACCCTGCGAGGTGTCCGCTTTAAATTATACTCGACCGCCTGTGTTACAGACCAATACCTGTCCAGACTTATGGCACACAGGTGAACAATAGATGATGTGCAGAAAAGAACATCTAGTGCTAGATATATATCACACCAAACTTTCCCAAAAAACCAGTAGCCCATTAATTCATTGGCCAGAGAGAAAGGGATTATCAGGGTGGCCACCAGAATGTCCGCACTGGCCAGAGACACAAGAAAAAGGTTTTGTGGTGGCTTGAGCGCGCTGCTCGTTAAAACGGCGATAACGACCAGCACATTCCCCACTATTGTAAACAAGATGAGGAAGCTCACCAGCCCCGCGAGCCCTATGATGGTGGCTGGAGAATAGCGACTTGTAGAATTCCCAGAGGATGTAAAACCATTGTCAATGTAAGTGTCCACTTCGCTTGCAAAGCTTAAGTTATGCATATTGATTTAGAAAAAGGTCTGCTATCCAATAATTCGTCCACGCGCGTCTTCGCGAATATTCTCTTTTTGATTTCACTGTAAGTTAATTGCAGGTCCGTCTCTGTTTCTTCTTGCCTTGTGTTCTTATTTTAATCCCGTTCGCATCTTTTTCTTTTCCGCGCAATTCCTCTTACGGCTCATTTGTTTGCGGCTTTGAAGAAGAGACCCATCCCGTTGTGAGTTTGAAGTAACCATCACCGTCTCTTACATCCGTGCGACCTGTTCGTCCTCTCACGGGCGTCTCTCTCAGCATCCTCGCGCTCTCTCCACCCGAGCGAAACACCGCGCGCCCTGCCCGCCCGGGACTCAACTATCCACGTGCTGACAACATTAAACTGATGGAGCGCCGCCCCGCCCTTGAAGAGAATCAGACGGAGAGAAGAACTGACTGCTGAAGTACCCTACCACCTTTTAGCGTCGTTTTCGTTGCAATGAACATTTTAAATCAGATCGTAGCGAGATTTTATGCATTTCAAGCATTTCATCTTCACGCGTCTCTGAACAGACAACAGGAGCTATATAACCTGGGCAAACATGCGATGGGCATTACATGTTATGTACTCTGAGGGGAAAATACATTTATTTGATTTTATAGTACTAGTCGTTGTCAGGAATAACGTTGTTCAGTGGTGGAAAAGCACCGTGAACTGTGAAGAAACTATGGCTTTCGGCATCTTTGCTCGCTTGGTGTCACTGTTGTAACAATGCCATTGTGGTTTTAAATAATGTGAAAACCCGTTACGAATGTTTTCCACCAAATATTTTATCTAGACATACCTTTTATTTAAATTAATTGCCTTTCAGAATTAAACTGACATAACACATTTAATTTGCACCTGTTTTTATTTTAATATAGTACAAATAATTTGGGATACCTATTTGCAACTAGTTTATTTTGTTTAATTTTGTAAATTACATGTTCAAAAGAGGATATAAAATTTGTTTTTATTAGCTTATATTGTAATTTGATCTCATATGGCAAGTTGGCTATATGGTTTACAGTACGTTCAGTGTGTGTGTGTGTGTGTGTGAGAGAGAGAGAGAGAGAGAGCACTTGTAATTTGTCAACATACTGCAGAGCATGATAGATTGCAATAGAGAGGAACTAATCAATGATTTTGTGAGAGACCCATCAGAGAGGTCAAAGAGGTAGCCATGGGTCCTGTTAAAGAGGTGGGCATCACAGGAAAGGAGACAGAAGGCAGGAAAATTATCAATGATGTCCAATGAAGTTCAAATAAAATCCAGGCCATTTTTTTAAAGGTGCCACGTGGCAGAGGCGATACTAAATTACTGTAACTACTGTATTGAAAAAATTACTGTACTGTACAGTAATACTGTACTGAAAAGTTTAACAACAGTATAAATTATTTCAGAGTGTAAGAGCATTTTGTCAAGAAAACCAGTACATTGTTGGTTAAGGTAAATAGCATTACTGTATACATTAGTGCAAGTTCATACAATAATTTATACTGTTTGAATTGACACAAAACCTCACAACAGTGTTATATCTCCTTTGATCATGTTAACACATTGGATTTATGGATTTTATGTCAATTTGGTAATGTGTGTTTCCTAATGATGACTGTATACTGTCATATTTTTCATCCAGCAAATCAAATTTCAAACACATGTCTCATGGTTTAAATTAACTGATTTTTAAAGTTACCAGTTGGAAATAGAACATTATGTTGTGTTTTGCTGACAAAGCCGAATGTTCTCATTACATGTCACAATGAAATATTTTGAAAGAGTGGTTGTGTGAAAGGTGAAATGTACTGTACAGCCCTAATGAAAGTATCTATCTTAAGTACCAGTCTAATGTATACTTTTAAATTGGCATAGTGTACAACAATTATTGTTGGCTCTTATGACAAATTGCTTGCAATGTGTCTTATTTGTAAATCTCTTCTGTTAAAAGCATCTGCTGAATGAATAAATGTAAATGATAGCATCAATAACAAGTTATCTTGTCAGTTTGAACTTTTGTACCAAGAGTATTTAATATTTTTTTGTGAATATTCTAAGCATTAAATGTAATAATAATAATTAAAAAAAAAAAGAAATCCTGGTGAGTCAGTGGTCGAGATGATTGATATTCTTCTCTGAGGTCCCCAGTGAAATGCTGTTCTTGACATTTAATTTTTAAAACTTAAAAGTCATCACTAGCCGATAGTGAAAGAAAGGGACATTTCTTTCTTTAATTTTACAAAATGAAATATGCTAAAGACGTTAGTGTGTGATGTATTTGCTCAGCTTGAAGAGAAATTACTAAGGAAAGAAAACTAGTTTGACTCATTCATAGCATAATACTGATAGAGTAGTGGTTGTCACATGTATGCAATGTTAAGTTTGATAAGTTACTGGCATCAACAGACTTATATTAGATATGAGAGAGAGAGAGAGAGAGAGAGAGAGAGAGAGAGAGAGACAGACAGAGAGAGAGACTGCAAAAGGCAGAAGTTCATTCTCATGTAAATTTTGATGACATTAAATAACGATTTTAATGTCAACTGAGTGACAGGTGATATTTAATTTATTTTAAGTGGCTGAGTGGATTAAAAACACACACACGCACACACATTGCTTACTGTAATGTTACTGTAGAAGCAGGTTTGGAAATATAGTATGTAAAAACAAATCTCATTCATGGTGATCTCATGAAAAATATACCATGGTTTAAAGGAAGACTGCTACCATCCACTGGAAAACACACACTTTTTCAAATTAAAATAACATGAAATTGAGAGAGAGAGAGAGAGAGAGCACTTGTAATTTGTCAACATACTGCAGAGCATGATAGATTGCAATAGAGAGGAACTAATCAATGATTTTGTGAGAGACCCATCAGAGAGGTCAAAGAGGTAGCCATGGGTCCTGTTAAAGAGGTGGGCATCACAGGAAAGGAGACAGAAGGCAGGAAACTTATCAATGATGTCCAATGAAGTTCAAATAAAATCCAGGCCATTTTTTTAAAGGTGCCACGTGGCAGAGGCGATACTAAATTACTGTAACTACTGTATTGAAAAAATTACTGTACTGTACAGTAATACTGTACTGAAAAGATTAACAACAGTATAAATTATTTCAGAGTGTAAGAGCATTTTGTCAAGAAAACCAGTACATTGTTGGCTAAGGTAAATAGCATCATAGGCCATCGACGACAGCCCTCCAGCGTTGTCTGTTCTGTGCTACCATCACCAGCTGCCCCCATCCCATTCCTGTCAGCTTGACTTCTGCATCCAGGTCTCGGCGCCAGGTGTTCTGTAGTCTCAGCCTCAGACGTCACTAGGGGTGGGAATCTATAGTCACCTCACGATCTGATCTGATTCCGATTCTGGGAGTCACGATCCGATTCCAGAACGATTCTTGATCTACTTTTTCCCCCCTTATTAATTCATTCGTTTACCAGCTTGAGAATTTTAAAATCCTTTTATTTACATATCCTTACATAAGTAATTAAGCACTTTTAAAAAAATAATTACAAATTGAAAAAAAAAATTGTATACGGTTGTATGTTAATAATAATTAATTAATTATTAATAATTAATCATGTAATTTTAAACTAATATAACTTCAAAACATACAAGCAAGTAGCAAATAATAAAGAGGAGCATAGAAACATATTACAAACAACAAACAAAGAGTACTTTCAGTACGGTATTTAAGATTATCTGAACGTTTTCCATTCAAGAACTGGGAGTGATTTTTCTTCATCTTTAAAGGGGTCATATGATGCTTTTTTAAAGATCATTATTTTGTGTATTTGGTGTAACAGAATATGTTGACATGCTTTAATGTTCAAAAACACATTATTTTTCAAATACAGTACATTATTGTAGGTCCTCTATGCCCCTCTATGCAAGCACTCGTCGGAAATGTAACGCCCCTTACCATAATCGCTAGCTTCATCTTTCAAAATAAATGTAAAGACAGATCCCGAAAGGGGAACAGAGTCGCGTGACAGACACAGTGATGAAGCTGCTATGTGTGCAGTACACAAGCCACAGGTTAAGAGAACTGACTCCACTGTGATGTGACCCCCCCCTCTCTCGCTCTCTCTCTCTCACGCACACGCGTCTCGTTTACTCGGATGTACGTCATTGATTACGTTGCATGAGTGCCCACTTCTGGTGGAACCCTTGGAATGGGCTGAACTGGAATGTCCTAAGCCCTTGATCACTTAGAATCAGCTATGGAGTTGGTTTATTGTTTAAATTTTTTCCCTTATGAGTTTGTTTGGTGCAGCATTCTGTATGTACATAGGTATGTTTGGGCTGTTATAAATGTTAAAAAAAATCATTCATATACTATAGAGTTGTTTGGGGTGGGGATAAATTAAATGCGATCTGCGATGACCGTGTTGCATTGTGGTCTATGGAGCGGCCTGAAGTGTGCATATGAAGGAGACTCACTCCCTCGGTCAAAATCGTCTGTCCATATAAACTTCCCTCGTCCACTTCACGAAGTGGAAAGCACTTCAAAATGGCAGCGGGGATTCCCCCGAGGGGAAGTGCTTAGGGAAGTTCGCAAGTGCATGTCTAAAAGTGGAGTGGAACGTAGCCTAGGAGTTTCGAAGTCCTCATCGGATTGGTTGAATTATACAGGATTTCCGGGAGACATGCGTGTCGTGGAAACAAAGACGCCAAACCCCCTCATGTTAGAAGAAAGCCGTCGTGTTTACAACTGTGACAATGAGGGCTTATCATGATCAACTAAACGCTGGATTTTCAAAAGTATGTGAAAT